GGTGCAGCCCTGTTGTTGATGTTATTGGTTGATAGTATTTGGAAAATTTAGAGATTAAGAAAAATGAGATGCAAAACAGGCTATTTTTTTCCTTGATGGTACAAGCTCCAGCCATAGTTACGGTGAATGTCGACTCACTAGTTTTTGAATAACATCAGTTTGTACATGCACTATTGCAGTCAGAAATGACAGGCAAACTTCGTATCTAATTTGTATTTCTCTTCTTGTGCTTTATGGTTTGCCTTCGGATCTAGACAGTGCTCTCCAGCTTTTCTCAGAGCCTATCTCATTCCTTTCATCAGAGTAATCAGATGAGTACCAGAATGGGATCCACAGAAAGTACTTTGCATTCTCAGTTCTTCAGAACAGCACAGCCTTACAAATACAAGGTAATATAATTGCTTATTCTAGACTTTGCTTAGGACATAATAGGCTACTGATCCTTTTTTTGAGATTTCAGACGTATGTTGATCAGGCTGTTAGTTTTCATAATTCTACTTAAATTCCAGTGGAAGCAATGTTTTACTGCTCACTGCTCATGAAGTACAGGTCTTGCAGTTTTAATGGTGAAAACAAGATCAGACTCCTCCTGTGACAGCTTTTTAACTTCTATCCATTTGTTGGTAATGGCTTTCAATCACTGAAATGTAGTATCACCAAATTTCTGAACATCAAGCATGAGTGAAAATTGGAAGAAACATAGGAATTATCTGACTTTCCTGATATTTCCTCATGATTGCTTATTGAAGTGCTACAGTAAGTGTGCTAAGAAGAGATATATTTCTGGTATCTGGAAAATGAGGACAGAATTTTCTTTCAAAGAAAGGCAGACAAAAGAGCAAAGATTGATATCTGTCTGTCTATCTATCTGTCTATCTATCTACCTATCTATGTCTGTGATAGATAAAACATAAAGTAGAACTAAATGGCTCTGTTGGATTAGTCTAAGCCAAAATGAACCCATTATAGCACTGAGACTACCTCGCTTATATCTGTAAGGTTATTTTTTTTCTGTATGCTTCATGGAGAAATATCCAAATATTAATGTATAGCAAGTTTACATTACAAGTGTGACAGACCGTAAAAATCATCTTTAAGTATCACCAGTCCATGGTGTATGTTTCTGTTTACAGATTGCTTTTTCTTCTGTCATGACACAAGCATTAAAAAAATGCTGAAAGCAGGATCTTGGTATCATAGGATTTGAAGACTGCCCAACACTATGGAAGGGGAAGTT